AACTCTGTCATTGCATATTTCTCTTTAAGATCTCACTCGGTTCCTTCCAAATTTCAACAGCATCAGCAATAAAACAGCTGTTTCCCTGCAGTTTGTTCAAGGCTACAGAAATAGGCTTCAGGGTGCTCAGCATGTGTTCAACCTTTCTCTTAAGCTCCATGTTGAGAACTTCGTCTGTGACAGTGCCATCTATTTTTTGACGATTTTGTTCACAAACTGTCATCAGATTAGGCCAGTTCTTGATCTAGTGCTCAAAACAGTCCACTACTGAGTTCCATCGCACGTCTTGTGGGAGAGTTAGCTTGGTTCCTCCCACTTTTTCAGAGCAGCTACTGCAAAGTAGTTGTTACGGAAGTATTTTGCAATTTCAACAACATTAGCCTTTATTTCTGGAACACTGAAGTCTTTGGCTAGGAGGTGCATCAAATGAGCACTGCAACCGTATGTTATTAGCTTGGGACTCTCTTCTAAATTTCTTCTCATCTTGGATACATTTGCAGCATTGCCTGTCACCAAGCTGCGTACTAGACATTTGATTTTATTTTATCAGTTTGTTATAGCTTTTACTGCTGCTACTTGTAAGTATTCTGCTGTGTGTGCATTTCCTGACGTTATCAGGTGTTTCTGTAAGGAAGACATCCCCTTCTGTTGTCACATAAGCACATACAACAGGATCATTCTGGACCTTGCTGCACCCATCAAGACTCGGATAAACAATTTTACCCTCTAGACCTTTTGCACACTGCTCAATTTCTTTCATACACTTGATCCAGCAATTTGCCTGTGACATGTGTGTGCTCTGTTGGGTGGACTGTATCCTGGTCTTAATGACTGATGAAAAAATTGCCTGGCTTGTTTATGCAACAAACTCTCCTTTCAGTATGTTTGAAAACCCACGCTTCATTAACATGGTTCAAGTACCTCTTTTTGTAATCTGCTGGTTCTTATCACAAACTTATCTATGGTTGTTTCTGGATGATGGAGTTTTTTTTTCTTTTTGCTACAGGTGATAGCCATATATATGTGACATACATGATGTGACAAACACTATCCTTGGCAGATAACTCTGAAACTATAGAAAATGATGGTGAACTTGAAGGTGGATAGTCTTCAGAATCCTGTATGTTGAGGATGGATTCTCCTAAACAAAATAAATCAATGCAGTTATTTAATTATTATTACCATACTGCTCATTTAGTATTACTCATTGCATTCACTGATGCTCAGATCTACTTTAAAGGTGAAATTGTAAAACGATGATCTGTCTATTTCAGCTATTTATTTTTTATCCCAACTGCATCTAAAATGATAGTACCATAGAGTAACAACTATATTTTTTGCTCAAACATGAGAATTCAAGAATGTTCCAGAAGGAAGACAGGCGGTCCTTAGGAAAGAAGTATGAAATAAAAAAGCTTACCAACCTGAAGATCCTGCATGTTCAGATATGTTCCTTTTATCATCTTCAACACAGCTTCCTCCTGAGAGGGAACACTTCTCATGATGTTTCGTTTGGGCAACCTTACATTTCTTTGTTGCACTGTTTGCATTTTGCATGCATGCCTGTCTTACCCACAGGTAGAGGAACTTCATCAAAATATTCCCAAACTGGGTCTCTTTTACGGCCTGTTGCCATTATAGGTTTTCCCTTCTAGTGAGAGAATGATATGGTAGATCTCAAATCAATGAAGGCTACACTCAGAAAGACCTCAAGCCTTCTGGAATATGCTGCTCAAACAGTTTCACTTTTGTTTCTAGTGCCTGTCCCTCCCTTCTCACATTTATCTCTAGACGACTTCTCCTTGTCCAGATCTGTTCTGCCCCCAACAATCTTCTATTCATTGAACTTTCTGAAACTTTTCACTTTTAGAGAGAGGTAAGGGATTGACTCTGTGTACATGAATTTGCAGAGGGACAATAGGGTTGAGGTCTGTTATTTCTCACCCCTCTCTCTCTCTCTCTCTTTATTTAAACACTTTTGCTGTTAAGAAGCATGTTATCTCTGGAGACACAAATCCACAGTTTGAGAACTGCAAAACTAAGCATCTCAGATGGTATTTTCTAGACTGAGCACTGAGTCCCATTGGGTAGATGAAAAGATTAACCTAAATCTATACAGAAGCCCCTGGAACCTTATAAGATTGGGGTCCCTATTGGAACTGATTTACAAAGGTTTTCTTAAACATTACATGAATATATTGTCTCATACTATAGAATTCTAATTTATAATCCCTATTCCATGATATCTTTCAGCTATAATGTATCTTAGCTTTAACTATCTTTAGATAGGTTTTTTCCTCAAAAATCATTTTATCAAAAAAAAAATCCATTTTTTAAAAAATCATTGATTTTTATCCATAGATTCATAGATACTAAGGTCAGAAGGGACCATTATGATCATCTAGTCTGACCTCCTGCACAACGCAGGCCACAGAATTTCACCCACCCACTCCTGCGAAAAACCTCTCGCCTATGTCTGAGCTGTTGAAGTCCTCAAATCGTGGTTTAAAGACTTCAATGAGCAGAGAATCCTCCAGCAAGTGACCCGTGCCCCATGCTACAGAGGAAGGTGAAAAACCTCCTGGGCCTCTTCCAATCTGCCCTGGAGGAAAATTCCTTCCCGACCCCAAATATGGCGATCAGCTAAACCCTGAGCATATGGGCAAGATTCGCCAGCCAGATACTACAGAAAATTCTTTCCTGGGTAACTCAGATCCCACCCCAGCTAACATTCCATCACAGGCCATTAGGTGTATTTACCATGAATATTTAATTACCAAAACCATGTTTTCCCATCATACCATCTCCTCCATTAACTTATCAAGATTAATCTTAAAGCTAGATAGATCTTTTGCCCCCACTGCTTCCCTTGGAAGGCTATTCCAAAACTTCGCTCAAACTCCACCCTGCTTTATGCATAAGTATTGTTGCTGTAACCTAGTAAGGGGAGATAGACAGGAAAAAGTGGGGTAGCAGTTGGAAGGAACAACTTGAAGATGAAGTTTATTGTGCATGCAACTTTTTTGCAAAGAAGCAAATCTGTATGGATTTAGAAAAACAATAATGGCCTGTGCAGTTACTTAAAATGGAAAAATGTGATCTACAGCTTGATTGTGTTTAAGTTTTTAAATATCATTGTTCACCATCAGGATGGCTTTCACAATCACAAGTGGCTTTTTCTATGGAGCATCCCAATTTTGAGTTACATGGAGGAAGGACAACAGGAAAATGTGTATTTTCTGTTTAGCAGCAGAATGCTAAGTCTTATTAGGTATCCATTATCAGTTGCTAGGAGAACAGTTGTATTTTTCTTAATCTCTTTTTAAATGATTGGTTCTCATTGTGTGAATAAATCTAAATCCAACTTAGTATGTGGGTGGGGTAGCTTAAAACTATCCTCTCCAACTTGATTCTGCAGTGGCGCTCTAGGACAACTGGATGCCTTGTGTGGAGCATGTGGAATTGGGCTTTTGCAGTAGAGAAATTCATACAGCTTCTGTAGGTGGTGCAAACTGATCTTCTCCCAGAAGACTACCTGTAACAGTGCTAGTCTGCCTAAGACTTTGTCTACATTACACAGCTTTTAGCGACAGGGCCGTGTCACTAAGAGTCAGGCAATGTAAATGCTGTTTGTCTGCACTTTTGTTGACAAAATACTTCCACCCCCTATGAGCAGGGTTTGTGTTGTCGACAGGAGTGTGCTCCTGCCGACAACGAGCCATTTACACTGCCACTTGCCATGGCAAAACTTTTGTCTTTTGGGGCTGAGGGGCTTTTTTAAGCACCTGTGAACGACAAAAGTTTTGTCTTTCAGTTGGCACTGTAGGCAAAGCCTTGGTTTATGTGTAATTTTTTTGTGCCTAGCATAGGATTGAACAGTAGATGCCTACCTGTGCCACTACCCTTTGTATAGTCCCGAGGAAGGTCTGGGCTTAAGTCTGTGCTCTTATTAGTGAAAGAGCAATGCGTTAGCTGAAAATATTGGAGAAATGATGAATGGCATGTCTCTTCCATAACAACAAAATCTTAGTGATAAAACTAAAGGATATCCATTATAAGAGTTAGACAAGAAGGGCAAGCACAGTGCCTCCATACTGGTTGGGTCAAGTATCGTCCTAACTCTGGCTCAACGCAATCGTTCCATCTCCAGACATTGCGAAAAAAAGGAATTAGTCCCATTCTCTCGAGGTGGCCTCGAGAGAAATAAAGCTCTAGCTACCTTGTAACTGCTCCATATTGAGCCAGTGTCTTTGAAGTCTTCTAAAAGCCAAGCTGCAGCTGATTGGTGCTGGCAAAAAAGGAAAAGAAATTAGGCAACTCATCCTCCCTGAATCAAATTATTAAGCATTTGTATAGCACTCAGTTGTCAAAGCTCTGTACGAACATTAATCCTTTAAATCCCCCTATTTCCCTATGCCAAGTGGAGTACGTCGGTGGCCCTTTTTTTTACATATGAGCAGACTGAAGCAAAGAGGTGGTAAACTGACCATGGCCACGTGTTGAGCCAGGGAATAGAGTTTAGGACTTTTAGCATCTAGTCTTATGTTCAATTTGCTATTCCTTAATACCTCTGAATTTCTGAAGTATGTTAATCTGAAGCTGATGTTCATGTAAGAATTATTCTGATGGATGAGCTAACATTTGTAAAGAGAACAAGTATCTGTAATTAGAAGGGAGGGGAACTTGCTTTATAAAGTATTGCTCTCATTAACAAGCTTGACTGAACAAATGAGACTTTAAAATAACCTCTGAGGCTTTTTACTCATCCTGGACATATTCTCTGTCAGTAGCTGTTGACTCCTTTCTACAGTTTGTGGACTCCATATTAAATTTCACCCTGTAATATGCTGCTCTTTTGTTTGGTTTCTGAGACTGCTCATCCAGCATGCATTATATGGACCCCTTAGCACTTTGTCTTATAAGGAAGTAAACTTTACTTATAATTGAATGTAAACCAGAGGCACTTTCTAACCTACTTTTCCTTTAAATGTCATTGTCAGGCTTCAGAAGAGGCCTCCCTGCGCGCTTTGGAGAGTCTAATGACAGAGTTTTTCCACAATTGCACAACCAATGAACGGAAACGTGAGATAGGTAAGTTCAGACAAACTTAAGGAATGGTCCCTTTTACTTCCCTCAACATTTTTTGGGTTAGATATGTAATCTCCAAGCAACAGCAGCAGAAAACTCCATAGTTCGGTTGTCTGCTGAAGGTGGAAATGGTGAGAAGGGAACTTGTTTCCCAGGCTGATGGAAACTTAGCTAGTTGTGAGGGTGGATACCAACTTCTCTGCCTATAAACTGCTGCACTTCATGAAGAGCCTGTGAAGGAGACTGCTGTGTGACAAGTGATAGAGCAAATACGTGACACTTTTTCTGTACTATGAGGGGAATGAGAAAGATGTAGGAGAGCAGATCCAAAAGAGGAGGCATACATTACCCACACTGACACATTTGGGGTAGCTACTTGGTAGTGCAGAATGGCAGGTGGAAATATATTTGTGTTCCATACTGGTGGATCTGAGCAGATCCATGCTTTTGAAGACCAGTAGAAATATCTTGCATAATATGGCAGCAGGATGGATGAATCAGGCCTGCAATACACTGAAAAATGAGGGGATTACACAGTCTTCTGGTTCCTTTCTGTGAGGACAGGCTATGGATTTATAACCTGGGACTTCAGTAATGTAGCCTGTATTCCCTTCAGGTTCACTATACTTGAAAATATATTCTCAGCATGTAAGCACGCTGTCTTCACCTGAAATTTCACTGTCTGGCCAAAAAGGGTGGTGATGACTCCCCCACCCCCGCACATACCCAGTCATTGGAGGAAAGGAGATCGTTGGCAGACTCTTGGGTTTGATGTACTTGTAGAACACAAACCCATGCAGCTTTTCCCCAAGGCCAAACTTTTACAAAAAGAGAAATTGGATGTGGTCGTCCTAGAAACAGAATCTCTCCGAGCATTTAAGAGAAATTGTAAAAGATGGGGGATTATAATGCTCCACATCAGTGGTATATGCAGCTCTAAGAACAACTAGCATTAAAACAAAGAAAACTTTACTGCAGAATGTCAGTATGAGGGCAATACGTGGTTTACGTGGACACTTTAGTTTTGTGGCAAGCTCAGCTGTGAATCTATCCCGGGCTAGCCTGCCACAGACTGTCCGTGTAGGCTGTATGCATTAACAAATTCATCTAGTCCTCTTTGAAATGGGATTAGGTGAAAACTCCTTAAACTGTTAATGCTTGTCAGCAGCGTCCACATGGACAGTCAGTCTGTGGCTGGCAAGTGCAAGATAGATTCATGCCCCAGCTTGCTGCAAACCGTTCCTGTAGACAAACCCTTAAATTCTACCCAGTCCGTTTTCAAGTGAACCAGTATCCCAACTTTTGCAATTTGTTTTTCTTATTTGTTAGAGGCAGAGCTGGTAGCACTGGCTCTCATTACGGTTTGTCTGACACTTCCCAATATAAGGTGCAGTTTTCAGTTGCTCAGAACTTCGCCAAACTTCAGCTATTAAGCTTGAAATTTTGCAAGCTGGGTGTCTGCCTCAGATTTTCTTTTTTGAAAATGTGAGCAAAAAACAGTTCAGCAGTGTCTGAAAACATGGCAAATACATTGGCTTGGGCATGTTTTTTAAGAAAGTTCAATAGAGATTTTAGCTTGGCAGCTAAATTCAGAAGATTCCTTCTGCATTGATTAGTCAACCCTCGGGCTGAGGAGGACTTTTCCTGCAACTGCTGCTCCTGGGTGCTGTGAGCTGCGAAGGTGCTGGGCACTGGAGTTGAGAGCAGGGAGACACTCGCCTGTAGTCTTAGTGCTCCCCTACTCCTCTCTGCCCCTTCTCCCGACTTCCAGGCAGCATAGTGAAGGAGAAAGCTGTCTGACTACAATGCAGAGGGGACAAGGAGTCTGAGGTGGAGGAAAGGCTGGGAAGAGGGCTTGGGAATATACTGGAACTGGCTGAGCAAGGAAAGGAGACTGGAACAAGGAGTTGGTAGAAGTGGTGGTGGGGCAGGAGGACTTGGACAAGAAGCCAGAAGTGATGGAAAAGAACAGGCTGAAGAACACAGGTAGAAAAATCTGTGCCCCCCCAGAGCACATTCTTCTACAGAACCTGCAACTGAAACCAAGATTCCTGAATCCAAGTGTTGCTGACAGCAAAGGAATTATCTGTAAAGACCCCTGGCAAAGTAGATCCACCCCTTCTAGTGGCTGGTCCACATAGAGTGTGACAACCTACTGCTGCTATCTCATCTTACTGCTATCCGTGTCTTATCTTAGGTGACAGAGATCTGTGCTGTGGATCTAAAGGTTCCATTAATTTCAAACTAATCTAACCCAAGTCTGTTGTTACATTATGCTTTTGGGAATGTTAAAATCATACACAACAAATTCTGATACTATGCACCTAGTCATTTGGTTGCATTAAAGGTTTTAGGTAACTTTCATGGCTGTTTTTGAAGTAGCTCAGGTTGTCTGAGCATTATTAAACTGATAGTTGATAAATCAGATTTGAAAAATATCTGAAGTTCCATTCAGTTTTATGGCGCTGTGGAAACAAATATTGTCTTGGGTCTGAAGACAGCTTATGAATATTAATGCACGTGTTTTGTTGATACTTGATTTTCCCAGAGGAGCTTCTGAATAACTTTGCCCAGCAGATAGGCGCCTGGAGATTCTGCCTCTATTTCCTGTCAAGCACAAGAAACGACTACGTAATGATGTACAGTTTGACAGTGTTTGAGGTGAGACATAAGAAAAAAGGGTAAACTTATCCAGAACACCATTATTGCCTAATTAGTGGATTCTTCTGCATTAACTCTTATTTGGTGTGATTTGTGTTTGAAATAGTTCATATTAACTACGTTTTTTAAGATTAAAGTGGGAACCAACTGAAGTGCACATGGCTTGCTTTCATAGTTCTCTTGCAAAGGGAATTTTTTAAAGTGCAGTTTGAGAGGAAATAAAATGGAATATGAATCCTTGCGTACAGATTGAGAAAGTTGCTTATTGCTGACTTCAAATAGTTAGGAATTGTCTAGAATTTAGGACATCATCTTAGATTTTGGTATAATTCACAGAATTATGAATGGATCCTTCACAGAATAGATCCTTCATATCCTTTACAGATCAGAAATGCTAACTCGGTTATGTATAGCTAGATACCACAAACTAGTATAAAGGGTACGACAAAATTCCTTTTATTTTATGGGATCTAAGAGATCTGGTTGACAGCTCATTCTGCTTTGTCTATGAATTAATCAAAGATGTAAAATCACTCTGCGGGAAGACCACATTCCACTTTTTACCTAGCTATGAAAGAGAACTAAGTGAAAGTTTAAAAACCCAAACACTGACTTGTGTGTAAATATCTGATAACTGTTCACAGAATACAATCAACTGATATATCAGTAAGCATGTGAAGTGTCTTGTTCTACCATATTATTCTGCATCCTTACTTTTAGGTCCTCTCTAAAATAGTGGTGCAAAGAATCTATTTATTGAATTGCAGTGTCATAGTCTTTACATACTTTACATTAGTTCACTTAAAGCAGTTTTGTCTTGCTCATCTGTCACATTCTTAGCTGTGTTGATCATTCGTGCTCTGAGTCTGATCCCAGGAAATGCAACAAGGGATGGTTGACACAGCTCAGAGTAAGGAAAACTGCTCCTCAGTAGGCAAAGGAGTAGCACCCCACCGGCTTCTACTGACATCATTGTGGACAAACCACTTAGGGCAGCCATACCATAAACTTTTACTATGATTAAAAAGAAACTCCCTTACAACTCTTGCTGCAGGTGTACTTTAAGTTTTTGGCAGGGGAAAAAGAGTGCTAAGAAAATGAAGCACACTAGGGGTACATTCAAAGTTTTCCCTCAAAACAGCTACCCCAATAAATAAAAAAACTATTCTGGTGATGTCAGATGTGTAGCAATTCCAAATGTTTCCAAAAGGTATAAGGACACAGATAATACATACTAAAGAGATCAAACAAAAAATAATTGAGCAGTGGGGCTGAAAGCTGCACGCTAACTTGCAACTGTCACTTTATGGGATGAACCTTTGCTCCATGGCAACTGTGAGCCTTGTGATGGAGGAGGAAATCTGGAGCTAAGAGGACATGTACAAAAGTTATAGGCCATTGGGATAAAGCAGACTGGGCCATGCCCAAAACGGGGCTTAGTGCTGACCAACTGCCGTCAGTGGCTGGTCTCTCTTAGGTTCTTATACACCTCTCATTACCATAGTATAGTGAGCACTTCACAATATTTAATGTATTTATCCTCACAATTCACGGTGAAGAAGGGAAGTGCTATTATGCCTTTTTTACAGAGCCAGAGCCTGAGCAACTTGCTTCCTGCATGAAGTCTGTGGTAGAACAGAGGATTGAATCAGAGTCTCCCATGTCCCAGTCCACCACCCTAACCACTGGCACATCCTTCGTCTTAGGAGAAGTAACTAAGACAAAAATAGGGGGACCATACTATTGTCTAAAGAGGAATTTTATGGAGCTACATATTCCAGCAATTTGAATTATTTTCATGGGTTTGGCAACCTAGCTTGATTCCTGCCCCTTTCTGCCTTACTGAAAAATGTAACTCTGAAAAATAATTTTGTCCAGAGCCTAGTAGAACAAAGAAATCACTGTCCAGTGCATAAACTCTAAGGAAATAAACTCCAGGTTAGAGATTCAGATCTTTCTATTTAGAACCTGGAATTTCTAAAATTAATTCCAGCTATTGTAGTCCTGTTTGATCAGTTATATGAGAACAGTGAACTTATCAGCAAAAGCAGGATAGTAAACCCAAAACTTATTCTAGGAGGTTTATAGGGGCTGATATTTTCTGAAAGAGGTGGAAAAATGAGAAAGTTTTAATGAAATTCTTCCTTCTCTCCCCCCGCCCGTGCCCACTCACCTCTCCTTTCAAATGGAGGCTGCTAGTTGATCTTCTGGGAAAGGGGAACTTGTTACCAGAGACATTGGGCAGGTAGAGGAAGTTACCACTTTAAAATCTCATTTACATGGGAGAAATTTCATGTATACACAGTACACTTCTGGAATTACTCTTAATACGGATTTTTTGTGAGGGTCCTCAGTGTTGTGGGTTTTGTCAGTGCCCTGTATTCTTCCTATAAGCAATTCCTTTGTCACTGTTAACCTGCAGCTCTGGACATTGGCTCCCTACCATAAAATTTTGACCTCTTTAGGAGACTTCATGGTGGCTTCAAGTCTAAATTGCATTGAAGCCTGAATACTGTGAATTGGCTTTGTCATACCATGAGTAAAGCTTCCCAGCTTTTATAATGATCCTCCTGACTGTATAAGCTATTTGTCTTTAATTTATGCCTGCCGTGTGCTTGAAACTGGGTAGAGCTATTGCCTCAGAAGCAGGCTTTCTGAATCTATTATCCTCAAACATCTACTTAACAGGCTCAGCTACTAATAGCCACTAATGTTCTAGAGCTTCTAAATGGGGTTTCAGCATTGCAGGAAAAATACTTCACAACTCTGCCTTCTTATGGATTTTTGCCATTAAGTGAGTTAAAACTCCTGTATTTTCCACTGAATGCATCCGATGAGGTGAACTGTAGCTCACGAAAGCTTATGCTCAGATAAATTTGTTCGTCTCTGAGGTGCCACAAGTACTCCTTTTCTTTTTACTAAAGTTAGCACTCTTCCATTAAAGGCCTATTGACTTGGACTTTCTAGATTTAAAAGCTTCAGAAGGCCCCCACACTTCATCCAAAGCAGAACTTGGTTCTCATTCTGCCTTGAAGGAGCTATGATGATTCTCTATTTACTATGATGTTACCCTTCTTAAAAGAGGAAACCTAGCTGTCCTAGGGTTCAGAGGGCACTGAGACTTTATATGCAAAAATCAGGCCTGCTCCAGTCTGAATTGTTTATACTGAGACTCGCCAACCAGTGACTGTTTTACAGATTCTTAAAAACACTGATTCATTCAAGCCATGCTTGTAGAAAAATGATACTAGAATAATGGAAATTGCCTATATTTTTCAGGATAGAAAATTGTTAGTGTACTGTGATGTGAAGCAGTATATGAAAAGGGAAGAACTCCATAAATTTGACATTTGGTCTTTGAGCTTCTCTTAAAATCAACTTGTCTACCTTTAGAGTTCCCTATGTTCTATTTAACACATAATGCTGCTTACATTCAAAGCACTTTACAAATGTTAAGCAATACATCCTCCAGTTTTGTAAGGGATATATCCCGCTAACTCCTACCTCAGTTTCTTTATCTGTAGATGTGCCCAGGGCCACACAGAATCACTTTCAAGGTCCAGATTAAGTTCTTGTGCTCTAGATTCTAATTACTTTGATCATTCTATCACGTCTGTTGCAACACTTACCAATAGTTATCTGGTTTTGGCAGTAAATTAAAGTAGCAATACTTGCAACTGCGTCACTTTACTGATTAAGGGTAGTTTTTCACCCATGCACTAGTTGAGGATAACAAACTTGTTTTAAAACTCTGCAAATGAAATGTATTGAAACACTAAATTTTTCCCAAAGCTACTTGCCTGATAACAGATATCTGCTCCTCCATCTGGCTCTCCAGACATCGTGTCTAACCACTGATTGTAATGTTGCACTAAAACCAGTTCTCTTTGTGCTTTTTAAGATCTGCTAAATCAGGATGTGCCTCTCTTTCAGAACCTGATCAATAAGATGTGGCTTGGGGTCCCATCTCAAGATAAAATGGAGATACGCAGCTGCCTTCCCAAACTCCTACTAGCTCACCACAAAACTCTACCTTATTTTATCAGGAACAAGCTCTGCAAAGTCATTGTGGACATTGGCCGACAAGACTGGCCTATGTTCTACCATGACTTCTTCACAAACATCTTACAGGTAAGGATGTCTTTGGGAAACTGTGATGAAATCAGGAAATCTTTGGTGCCACTTTATGGAACACTTTTGTCTAAATTAAAGGCTACGTTTATTGGGAAGACGGAGTGGTCGAGTAAAACCTTTAAGTATCTTATGAATTTATTCATTTTTCTTTTGGAGAAAGCTGAAGAGGAAGTAAAATTGCTTTTCATTTCCACCTCCCTTACTTTGACAAATAGTCAGCCATTAGTCTCCTGCATAAATTCCTAGATTCCAAGACCAGAAGGGACCATCATGACCATCTAGTCTGACATCCTGTATAATGCATGCCATAGAACTTTCCCAAAGTAATTCCTTTTATAAAAACATCCAATCCTGATTTTAAAATTGTCAGTGATGGAGAATCCACCACAACCTTTGGTAAATTATTTCCAATGGTTAACTATGCTCACCGTGAAAAATGTATGCCTTATTTCCAGTCTGAATTTGTCTAGCTTCAACTTCCAGCCATTGGATCATGTTAGACCTTTCTCTTCTAGATTAAAGAGCCTATTTTTAAATATTTGTTTCCCATGTAGGTACTTATAGACCAGGGGTGGGCAGACTTTTTGGCCCGAGGGCCACATCAGGGTTGCAAAATGTATGGAGGGCCGGGTAGGGAAGGCTGTGCCTCCCCAAATAGCCTGGCCCCCGCCCCCCATCCGCCCCCTCCCACTTCCCGCCTCCTGACTGCCCCCCTCAGAACCCCCGACCCATCCAAACTGCCCTGCTCCTTGTCCCCTGACCGCCCCCTCCTGGGACCTCTGCCCCAACCACCCCCTGGGATCCCACCCCCTATCCAAGCCCCACTTCTCACTGTCCCTTGACACCGCCCCTCCAGAACCTCAGCCTCATCCAATCTCCCCCTGCTCCCCAACCTCCCCTTTTCCCCCTAACTGCCCCCCGGGACCCCACCTCCTATCCAATCCCCCCTGTTCTCTGTCCCCTGACTGCCCCAATCCCTATCCACACCCCTGCCAGCCCCTCCTTCCCCCCGGGACTCCCATGCCCTATCCAACCGCTCCCTGTCCCCTGACTGCCCCCCGGGACCCCCTGCCCCTTATTCACCCCCACCCCCTTACTATGCTGCTCAGAGCAGCAGGAGCTCGCAGCCCTGCTGCCCAGCCGGAGCCAGCCATGCCACCCACGCTGCCCGGGCCAGAGTGCTGGTGGCATGGCGTGCTGAGGCTGCGGGGGACAACAGGGGACGGGACAGGGGCTAGCCTCCCCAGCTGGGAGCTCGGGCCAGGCAGGACAGTCCTGCGGGCTGGATGTGGCCAGCGGACCGTAGTTTGCCACGTCTGTTATAGACGGTGATTAAGTTACCCCTTAACCTTCTCTTTGTTAAATGAGCTCCTGAGTCTACTCTATCACTATCAGGCAGGTTTTCTAATCCTTTGATCATTCCCATGGCTCTTCTTTTAACCCTCTCCAATTTATCAACATCCTTCTTGAATTGTGGACAGCAGAACTGGACATAATTCCAGAAGCAGTCACACAAGTGCTAAATAGAGGTAAAATAAACTCTCTACACCTACTCGAGATTCCATTGTTTATTGCATCCCAGGATCACATTAGTGCTCTCAGCCACTGTGTCACATTGGGTCCTCATGTTCCACATAAAACCACAAAAAACTAGAATACAATGTAATTCAGTGCATCCCTCTTGACTTTTGGCAACAACTCCTGTTGCCATATTGATTGTGTTGGGAAAATAAGGAGAGGGATTTGGTAGCGTAGAGTGGCTGATTCTGAGCAACACTAAGGTCCTTTTATATCCACTTTTAGGCCCCTTTCCATTGATAGAATGATGTCAAGGAGCCTTAGTGTAAATGTGAAATTCAGGCCTATATAAGAACATAGTAATGGCCATACTGGGTCAGACCAATGATCCATCTAGCCCGGTGTCCTGTCTTCTGACTGTGGCCAATGTCATGTGTTTCAGAGTGAATGAACAGAACAGGTAATCAAGTGATCCATCCCCTGTTGCCCATTCCCAGCTTCTTGCAAACAGAGGCTAGGGATACTTCAAAGCATGGTTTTGCATCCCTGCCCATCCTGGCTAATAGCGGTGCCTGTACTCAATAAGCTTCAGTTAGTGAAGGAGCTTTAAGAATTATCTTCTGGGTTTGTTTCAGAACCTTTAATCATCTTTGGTGCACTTTAATCTAGATTAATCTTGTAGGTATTCTGAAAATGTTGAGTAACCATTGTAAATTAACTGTTTAAATGTAGTTTTTTCAAGATTTACTTTGGGTAAGGCTAATAGAACTGAGACGATAGTGAGAATTTTTATCAGTGCTCTAGAGATTTCTAAATATTTTCATTTGACCGTGTTTGAAACTTGCTTGCATTTTGTGGGGGTTTTCACAAACCGAACTGGTTCACAAAGTAAATTTTAGGACTGTAGCTCATATTAGTTAAAAACTAAATCTAAGCTGATTTTGAGGAAGCAGTCGTTTCATAAAGTCTTGTTCATCCAGTCGGTGAACAGGAACTATGTGAATTAAATGATGATCACAGCTGAAATACAGAATAGTTGGAGCCAGCAATGCACAGGGTGAAATTTGTGAGCAGTTTTGTGTATTTGCAAGTAGCAAACAAATACGTAAATCTGGATGCTTCACAAATATGAAAGGTCTGAATTCAGCTGTTACAGATTGTTCACCTAATAGCTAAAGAAAAGCTTAAATCATTCAGTTTCTACAAGGATCTCCATCCTCTTTATCACTGAATTATAGTTGGCCCTCCAAAACTAATAGAGTAGGTTGCTAGTAGATACACTTATCACTGTAGAATCTAAGCACCTGCTGTAATAGACAGAGTTGCTGCTTTGAACGTGGCTGCTGTTTTAAGACTTTGTCAGCCCATGTGGGAAGGTGGGATAATTGTAATAATGTCATAGTTTAGATTATACCAACACTTCCTTAGTCACAATTCAACAATTTTAAAGCAACTTTATAGTCAGTTTCCCTGGCATGTGTTAAGTCTAAATGTATTAAATAACTTAGGGGGTCATTTTTGTTTTTAAATTAACTCTTGTCATATTTAGGAAAAATACAAACCTAAGTATAAACGTACTCTTTCAGTGATTATAATTGAGGCTTGATAAAATACTTTGTCAATAAGTAACAATACTGTAATGGGATTAGTTACACTAGATCATATATGAGATTTCTGAAGTGTTGTGTACACACAAACTTGCACAGGCTTAATTAAGCCAGTGCAAAGCCTCTGTGTGGTCACTCTTAAACGTAGGGTATGTCTACGCTGCCCATGTTACAGTGCAGCCGCAGCAGCGCTGTGACGTGGGCAGTGTAGTCATGCTTTATCGCTGGGGGAGAGCTCTCCCGGTGATGATAAATAACCACCCCGAATGAGGGGTGGTAGCTTTCTTGCTGGGAGCATGGCTCCCGGCGATAAAGCGCTGTCTGTACTGGTGCTTTTCAGTACTAAAACTTTTGTCCCTCGGGGGTGATTTCTCACACCCCTGAACAACTAACGTTTCAGCGCTGAAAGTAGCAGTGTAGACACAGCCTTAGTCTACACTAGGAACTTATGTTTGTGTAACTACGTTGCTCAAAGGTGTGGAAAATCCACACCCCGAGTGACATAGTTGTACTGGCATAAGTTCCTAGCGTAGATACTGTGATGTTGATGGGAAGGCTTCTCCTGTCGACATAGCTTCCACCTCTTGGGAAGGTGAAGTACCTGTGGCAACAGAAGAAGCAGCACTGTAAGTGTAGACAATCCCTTATTTTGATTGAAGAGTAGTTTATTTGGATTATTTTAAAATTTATTAATTGATTTAAGATAAACCAAAATGAGCCTAATTTAAACTGAAGTGTCCACACAGTCGTCCTGTCCACTGATGTGACTAAATTAATTTAAAATCACATTTTTAGTCAAACTGCTCTTCATGTAGACAAGTCCCACTCCAGTTCTTTAAATCAATTCGCACCTCACCCCTAAAAGTCAAGAGCTCACGTGTTACCACAAATGTATTTTACATTACTTGTCACATTGAGAAATACCAACTCTTCATACGCAGTTTCAGTTACTGATGGAAGTCATCTGTTTGCACAATAGCCTCTTTGGTGGTGAAAATACAACTTATATCCTTTCCAGAAACTGACTTGCCATGTCTTGAATAAAGAGCGTTAGACAGCTGTCCACAATTAGAGCTTTGATTTTTGTGACTTATGAACAGGCTTTACCTAGGTTTCAATTACAATGCTCTCTGAACAGGTACTGATTTTTGCAATATATTGTGGGATATCTAAGTGACGAGAGAGCCTATTTTGCATATTTTATTTTGTTTCTCACGAATTCTCTTTTGCTGGGACAAGGGGAGTGCTCCCCCATTCTCTCTAGTTTATAGTACAAATCCTTAAAAGAAATATTCAAAGAGAAGTGTATGTGTAGAAAAAAATTATGCTAGACTTTGAAGTACCCAAAAGTGATAAAGTACCTAAAAGGGGTTCTTATCACAATCGTGTTAGGCCACAGCTTTTAGTTGCTTTTTGAACTACTGATAAATTGTTCTATCCACTGTTTCCTCCTCTTTTGATATATTATTTGACCCAATTTTGTCTGCCATTCAAGCCTTAAAATCATATTTGGAATCTGCAGAAGTCTCTAACCTACTTCTTTTTCAGGGAAAGTTTTTTAAGTAGTGGAGAAAAGCAATACATTGTATTAAATGGTACTAAGACCCTTGCAGATGATTTTGCTTAAGGATAGTACAGTTCTTCATAGAAAGCTTGATATATTTGTGAAAGTATTAATTCACGTACTGTTAGGATATTGGGTCTCAGCAGTTGCATGCCACTGGTTTTCAATAAACTTCACTGACATCTGAAACTATTCTAGGAAGAAATTTTAAACCATCTTTGAAGTTGACTAAAGCAGTCCAGATCCCATTTAAATTTTCTCCTCTAGTTTCTGCTTCTCTGTGCCACACACTTGCTTCAGATAACTAATAATGTAAGATCATGTCTGACGTATGAAGAAGTAGTATATAACTTACACAAAAATCTTCTTTATCTAGAGCTACACAAATGCACAGAAGTTGTTGGTGCTTAAATCTGAATTCTTGTTAATTGGTATAGCTTCATCAATAGAAGAAGCTTGTCACTTTTGATCTTTTTGTAGGTTATATGAAGAGGGTCTATTCAGACTATACTAAGAACACACAACTGTGAAAAAAGAATTGATACACTATAATAAGTTAACCTTTACATGAGCTAATTATAAAAATGTAGGGCTTGAGAGGCCATCTAGTCCATTCCCCTGCACTGAGGGCAGGACTGGTGGTTTTGTCTAATCTGTTGGTAAAAATCTCTAGTGGTGGGGATTTTGCAACCTCCATTGGTGGCCTGTTCCAGAGCTTAACTACCTGTGTAGTTAGAAAGGTGGGGTTTATTGTTTTTGTTTTTTTATATCTAAGCAAAATCTCCCTTGCTCTAGATTGTCTATTACTACTTGTTCTATCTTCAGTGGACATGAGAACAATTGATCACAGTCCTCTTTATAACAGGCTGTAACATATTTGAAGACCATTATCAGGTCCCCTTTCAGTCATCTTGTCTCAATACTAAACATACCTGGTTTTTTAACCTTTCTCCTAGGTCAGGTTTTCTAAACCTTTTATCACTTTTGTTGTTGCTCTCTGGACTCTCCCCAGTTTGTCCACGTCTTTTTAAAAATGGTTTGTCCAGAACTCAGGCCTCACTAGCGCTGAGTATAGCAAGACAGCTGCCTCACGTGTCTTAAATACAACACTCCTGTTAACACATCCTAGAATGTTAGCCTTTTTTTTTTTTTTTTTTTTGCAACTGCATCACATTGTTGACTCATTCAATTTGGGATCCACTATAACTCTCAGATCTTTTTCAGCTGTACTGTTACCTAGCCTGTTCCCCATTTTGTAGTTGTGCATTTTATTTTTCCTTCCTAAATGCAGAGTACTGCACTTGTCTTTATTGAATTTCATCCTGTTCATGTCAGACCAATGCTCTAATTTGTCAAGGCTGTTTTGAATTCTAATCTTGTCCTCCAAAATGCTTGCAACCCTTCCCAGCTTGCTGTCATCTGTGAACTTTAAGCGTACTCTCCACTCCATTATTAATGAAAATATTGACGAATACTGGACCGAGGACAAACAACCGTGGAGCCCCATTAGGTACGCCCTCCCAGTTTGACAGCGTTCCATTGATAGCTACTCTGAGTACAGTTTTTTTTAACCAGTGTGTATCCACCATATAGTAGTTTCATCCGATCAGTGATGTCATGATACAAGTGTGTGAGATGTCAGTCTAACTCACGTGAGTAAAATGGAGTTGCTTTGATATCTTGTGATGCATCATGATCCACTTGGAAGTTGGCTGCAATTAATCTTTACCACCGACACAAACTAGAACATAAAAAACGTGCCAGCCTGACTGTTGCCCTGTTTGACAGGCCATAATCACTACCACGAGGGTGCTTAGTTTCCAAAAATCAAACTCTTCTACAGTTGCCGTTAGGTTCCATCTACACTGGCTCTTTTTCACATGCTTAAAGTGTTAAATTGTTTTAATACATATCAGGCTAAACTAGTTTATGATCAGGTCTGGCAAGCTAATATGAATGGAGCAAAAACTACATAAAGCAGATTGACTTATGACTCCCAAAGATTACCCTATTATTGTGCTTTTCTTTAGCTATACTTCGAGAGAGAAGTGAATATCTGGTGTCTGATATTCTAGGCTAGAAGTAAAGGTACCTTTAAGTTTTGAAAACAGTTTGAGGTTCAACACATTCCCCAGTCTCTCACCTCCTCAGTTCTTGAATTTATTTAAATTTAATATGTCAAGGTATCTAAACCAGGCTTTAGATACCTTGAAAACATGAAATGTACAGTAGTGTAATGTACTCTCTCTGGACCCACTTCGTTCTCTTCTGCACCCGTTGGGGAAAGGAAACTTCTCACTTAAAGTAAATGTGATTTACAATAGTATTGAAATGAGTATGCCAGGAGAGACTAGAAAATCCTTAATTACTGTTTCTTTTGATGTAATTTTGGCTGCAGTTAACTTATGATCTAAATTTCCACTGGTGTAGCTGCTTGGCTGGTGGCATACGTTCCTAGTATGAGAGAACTACTTCAGGAGCAGCCTGTCATTTAGAGTGGTCTGTGATGCAGTCCTAATGACGAGCGACTTCCACAAAGGGAGAGGAAACTTGTGAACATGTTGGAGCAGGGAACATGTGTGACCGCATGAAAGCTCTATTGAGATCCCAAGGATTCCCATGCTACTAGGATTGGTACATCGTGATGATCATAAACTGGTGTTTCAGGAAAACAACAATCCATAGTTATATTCCCCCAAAGTATATTGCAAAAAATGATTTAGTGATGAGCATGGCCCCAGAAACTTGGGAGTGTCCATAAAGACTGATCTTGTGGGTTTCTGTAACACTTAATCAATGAACAAAATGCTAGTGACATTGTTCATATCTTGTTTGTTCTTCCAGTTGATTCAGTCCCCTGTGACCACTCCTCTTGGGCTGATCATGCTGAAGACTACATCGGAAGAGTTGGCGTGCCCCAGGGAGGATCTTAGCGTGGCACGGAAAGAAGAGTTACGCAAACTGCTCCTGGATCAGGTACAAACGGTACTTGGGCTTCTCACAGGTAAGTATAACTGCACTTGTAGGGTTAGAACAAATATCTGTCCCCTTCCCCTTTCTGCAACAGTGTGTGAATATGTAAAATGCTGGCAGACTTGCAGCTGTGAAGCTGATCATTCAGTGAAACAAGAACCCCACTAGTTATGTAGTGACTGCTTCCTGGTGGCTGAGTTCTTAATTCTGCTGTGTAAATAGCTTTTTGAATAGCTTATGATGAAATCTGATGACTCAAACTAGATTATGCAGCACAGTAGCTGTAATAGCTGTGCTTGGTCGTCATTGTTTATAAAGATGGACTTGGACCAAGCAGATATGCTCCCATGCATGAGAACTTAGTGTTGTCTTTAACTCTTTATAAATTAAGAGCACTACAAGTTTTATTATTAAGTGCTGTACAAGTTCTAATCTCCACAGCCGCCTGTGAGGATACTTAATTTCTTGTGCTGTCACTGCAGTAAAAAGGAATAAAGATCTAACCTATACATCTGAAAGTGTCTAGCTCAGATGCACTTAGGTTTCCCAGGTCAATTGCATGTACCTTGAGGTGGCTATCCTAAATTAAGGAAGTTTGGGATAAGGATAGTAGCCCTGTATGAAGTGTCTATGAACCTAGCTGGGCTCACAGCAGTCTCTTCCTCTTTCTTGGCAGGTATTTTAGAGAGCATCTGGGACAAACATAGTGTTACTTCTGCCACTCCACCACCATCCCCATCTTCAGGAGAAAGTGGTATGGATTACTAAAATTTAATACTTAATTTGTATGTATTGGACATAGATTTTGGTTACCAACATAAACCAAAATCACTAAGGTACCCACAGTACATAGCACAGATCTATCCCTGTCGTAACATTTCCTTCCCAAATAGCGATCCATAGTCAGACAAATGTTTGACTGGAAAGATATGCCTTGTGCTGTGCTCTGAAAGTCACCAGATTTAGGTGGACAAGGAAGCCTGCAAAAATAGGGGGACCAACCAATCATGACAGGCCAAATTTGACTGGTGTTGCAAGCCTGTGTGCTAGATAGGAATGCCACTCACTCAAATTCAGCCCAGCCGCTCCTTTGCCGTACCAGTAGGGAAGGGGCTCTACCATTACACCAGCCAACTCCAGTCAGCGCTGTTCCCACCTGTCGCGTCCTTGCCACATTCAGATTCTCAAAAGTGGGGTGTGTGGCACCGTCTTAAAAAGTATGGGGGCTTGGGGGCAAGGCCCTTCTGCTGGCTTCCCCTGTCTCCGGCACGTATGGGTCCAGTAGAGGAAGCAATCTTTAGGGCTGGGGACTCTCCACTGAAAATGTGCTACTTCCATTCAAGACTGCTTATGTGGCATCTAAGCTGTCAGCGCCTTTCCTGTTGCGGTGGTGCAAAGGAGGAAAGGCTGTTGAAAAATAGCCAGTTCCTAAACTGTGTCTGACATCAGTGTTGGCTTTCATCTATGAATTGCAGCTGTAAGTGCATGGGAAGCCAGGAAAGACTGCAGTCTTAGCTGATTCATAGATTCCAAGGCCAGAAGGGACCACTGTGATCCAGTCTGACCTTTAACTTCTAATATACAGCTGTGGCTTTCAACATATTGGCTATCAATAACATATTCAAAAGATAATTTAAACACATACTCTCTACCCACTTCCCCCTCTGACTACATACACAGCCGCTTGCACAGCACCATTAGGACAAGTAACTGCCTTTAGAGCTTAGCTATGCATCTGCTTTACAGCTGATTCATATACTTGTCTCTCTTCACTAGCTTTGAAAATGGAGCGTGCACATTGCTTAAATGACTAAGATGATGTGCATGTTATAGATAGTTACGCTTTTGCAATTTGGAGGAAAGGGAACTTGTAGATCCAGGAGATTGAACAGGAGTAAATCCCACCCCATTGTTCTGAGGACCATCAGTTTCCTTGCTGTCTCATGTATCAAATGATCCGAGTTCAACTAGGCTTCTTTCTGCAACAACTAAAGAGTCGTAGCCCTTTCTTCCTCCCTTGTTCTGAGAAACAAGAACAAATATTGTGATGCAATTTCCCATCTAGTTGTATAAAGTAGAGTTTAATTGAAACAGCTGTTAAATTAAAAACCTGTCCGAAGTTGTGTCTACCCTCCACAGAAAAATTTCACAAACTTGTGCTAGTTAAGGATTTTTCAATCTAAAATGTCAAGTCTCATAGAGAAAAGAGGAAATTCTTCTACCAAAACAGTGACTTATTTCTTCACACTAGTGTTGACATGCAGTTACAGTAAAAGCTTCTAGATCACATAATGCATCCTGTGAATTAATACAGTTCTTCCGCTGTAGTAAAACTGAAGATGTGTGTTGGAACAGATTCCACTTTTCTTCTCACTTGCCATTAAGAACAGCTACCCTGATGAACTGGTACAGATCACTTCTCTTTGCTCAAACTGCTCTAGTCTGTTTACTTAGGCTGAGTAACTCCAAAGGTTATCAAACCAATTGAAAGAACTAAAACTTACAGTGCAGCAGCTTTGGGGACTGCACATGTTAGGATATTAGTGGATGTATCTGAAACTCCTCTAGAAGAACAGTGGTACCTAGTTGTCAAGGGAAAAATTCTTTAACCTTGTTGCAGGCGAAGTATTTGAAGAATCTGAGTATTAACCAAATAAAACAGTACAAAATAGCGTATTGCAAGAATGAACTGCATTGTTTGGTCTAGATTGGTTCCCTGTATGTAAGCTTGACACTGATATTGGCATGTCTTCCTTACACTGCTGTTCAACTAGTATATTTTTGTAGTGCAGTATTGATTTACCAAGATTGTCTTTGGAAAAACACTTGATTAATGCTAGTTTGGCGTTGCTAGTAGCAAATGACTCAAAAGATTGGAGTGATAAATAACGTGGACAGGGCATTCATACAGAGTAGCATGGATTGCTTGGTAAATCAAGCCCAGTCAAAATGTGTTTTAGTACAGCCAAAGCAAGGCCATGCAGATAAGAACAAAGAAGGCAGACCATGCCTATAGAATGGGGGACTGTATCCTGGATAGCCGTGGTTCTGAAAAGACCTCCATGGGAGTCGTAGGATTGAGCAATTCACCATGAGCTCCTGTGCAGTACTGTGGCAAGAAAGGGCTAAGATGATCCTTGGATGTTTAAACAGGGGAGTAGGAAGGTTTCTTTACCTGTGTGTGTGATGTTGGTGAGACTGATACTGGAATAGTGTGTCCAGTTCTGGTGTCCATATTTTATAAAGAAGGTTGAAAATTAGAGAGGATGCAGAAAAGAACCAGAAAAATGATTTGATGGCTGGAGAAAATGCCTCAGTGAGAGACGTAAGGAGTCCAATGTTTCTCTTATCAATCAAAAGAAGATTGAGAAGTGATGTGATTAGTGTACAAGTACCTCCATTGGGAGAAAATACCAGGTACTAAAGGGTTAGCGCAGAAAAGTGTAACCAGAACCAGTGGCTGGAAGTTAAATCCAGATAAAGTCAAACTAGACTCAGATTCCCAGGCCAGAATGGACCATTGTCATTATCTAGTCTGACCTACTGTATAATGCAGGCCAGAGAACGTCCCAGAATAATTCCTACAGCAGACCTTTTGGAAAAACATCTAATCTTGAATTAGAAATACAGCACAAGTTTTAACTCTACAGGGTATTAACCATTAGAACAAACTACCAAGGGGGAGTGGTGGATTCTGTCTCTTGTCTATAAATAAGGCTGGATGCCTTTCTGGAAGATATGCTTTAGTCAGATGCAAGTTATTGGGCTCAATACAGGGACAACTGGGTGAAGTTCTGTGGCCTGTGCTTCATAGGAGGTCAAGATTGGATAATTTACTGGTCCCTTTTGGCCTGAATCTTTGGATCTCTAAAACTATGAGATCAAGTACTTAAGCTTGTCAGGTCACATGTGATTCCAGTTCATATAATAAAGCATCTGTGTTTTACTAATGAGACATACAGAGCCTTTAACTTTGATTTTCTATTAGCATAGATGGCCCTTGGCACTTTCCTCTTTTTTTATAAGTTTGAGTGTAATTAACTATATACTTTGGTATGAAACTTTCAAACAGGCATGATAAGGGCTGGGATCCTGTATTTAAGCTCTATAAATATGTAACAGCTGTATTTACAGCCAGAACTCTTTTTTAGAACTTAAGTCTGCAGTGTTTCCACGTTTTTCTAGGAAAAGCAGAGAGAGAGAGTTAAGAGCCCTTAAATCTGTTTAAGTGGCATTTATGCACTGTAGTAGCTTCACATTTTCCATACTTAGGGTGTGTCTACACAGCTGCTGGTAAAGCGCTGCCGCAGCAGCGCTTTAACGTGGCTGTGTAGTCGCAGCTCCAGTGCTGGGGGAGAGCTCTCCCAGCACTGTAATAAAACCACTTCTGCGAGGGGAATAGCTATCAGCGCTGGGAGCGCGGCACCATCTACACTGCCACTTTACACCACTGAAACTTGCATTGCTCAGGGATGTGTTTTTTCACCCCCCGGAGGGAAGAAAGCTTCAGCGTTATAAGTGGCAGTGTGGACAAGGCCTAACACGCAAGCTAGGAAACTTCTGCAACCTTAGGCCCTCTGGTGGGAAATACTGGGGTCTTTGAATCAGCAGCATGTTGTTGAATGGTTTAAGTTCTCAGCCGGCCTCTCTTAAAGTGTTGCTTTACTTGAAAGTGACTACGTGAAAACGGTACTACTATAGTCTGTTTCCTGGATATATTCAGCCATATGTAATGAACAAAGTGAATAACTAAAAAAAACTAAAATGAACTGCCTCAGTTCTACTAACCATGCAGAATTTAACATAGCTAGGGGAGAGTGACTTTGAACCTCTTTCTCCTTGTGCATCAACATAATTGTTCCATAGAATCATAACTTGTTTATTAGTTCTCAGTTGTAGCTGACAGACTCCCTTAAAAGCTATGAGGTTGCATAGTTGTGACTGAGAGCATAATTTCATGACAGTGGGTCTGCTTATGTCCCAGAGGACCGAATCTAATTTGCGCAATGTCTTGCTGGTGGTGTTGCACAAGAAGGTAAAAACCTAGTTTGATTTAGATTCTTTGGTGCATTTGCGGGAGGGGAGAAGGAGGCAGGGGAGCTGAACCAGGTCACGCTTCATTTGCAGTGTTAACGTAGATGTAAATAGTGTGAGGCTGTGAGAATCTGGAAGTTAAGATCTAAAGGACAGAAGCATCCAGTTACTCAGCCCAACAGCATGCGTCATTCACAGTGCTGAGAAGCACTTGTCAGAATAAACTGGAAAATGTGTGTAAGCAAGTGTAAAGGGCAGTTCTGAAGCTAGTGGTGATAGCAGCCACCTTGCTAAAAAATGGTGTCACTTGTGTTAGGGTAGAAGATCAATCACAGGTTGTAAATCCCATCAAAACTTCATTAAGCACTTTAAAAGTAATCTACTGAAACAAGATGGAAACTGGATTGTAGTCTCTCATGCTACCAATGTCTCCGATTACTTCATTTTTAATAAGAGGCTAAAAAAGGTAAAATGTGAATAAAAATTTGCACTGTGATATGTCAAGTGCTTATGAAGTTCTACATATTTTGAGATACTTGTTAAATATGATCTAGTCCACATTAGAAATGAATACCTTGTAAATATTATTTTTTGTAAGTAAGCATTGTATTACAGACAGAATCCACAAACTTTATTTTACATGCATGGAAAACATAACTTTGCCAATGATTTCATTATGCAAGTAAATTTTATAGCTGGCTCCTAAACCCTAAAATAGGTTTATAATGAAAATGCTACCAGAGCCTTAATTAAAGCAGTGCTTGTGTGTGCCACACCAGTAAAGCTGGCAATGTAACATGCTGCAGTACAGAGCTGAATTCTAGCTTTCATTCAGTTATTTTATATACCTCCTCTCAACTGCAGTGCTGCCTGCTGCGGAGTGTCTTAGCCAGACTGAAAGGTTTGGTCAGTCTGAAACTTTAGAACACAAAGGAGGTAGCTGAGGTGAGACGGGATTGCCTGGTATGCTTTGTAGAATCCTATCGCTATTAATGGCATGTTGCATTGAATGCTTGTCTTTAGATATTTAACTTGTTAGATGCATAAAGAGCAGCAGTTAAATGCAAAAAAAAAATTGCTTTTGATTTATGGTCAGGATTTAACTCTGCACATCCAGTTCCCCTCTGTTTGGTATGCATACTGTATTTAGGAGTGCATATGCTTTATTTCCTAGGTGGTGACCTGTTAAGTAGCCTGTTGCAGAGTCCCAGTGCGGCCAAATTATTGAATCAGCCAATCCCTATTCTTGATACAGAGAGTGAATATATTTGTTCACTAGCATTGGAGTGCCTGGCCCACCTCTTCAGCTGGATCCCTCTGTCTGCCAGCATCACTCCTTCACTCCTCACCACCATATTCCACTTTGCCCGCTTTGGCTGCGACACCCGAGCCAGGAAGATGTCTTCTGTCAATGGCAGCAGCCAGAACTCTGTCTTGGGTCAAGAGCGTGGTAGGCTTGGGATCCTGGCTATGTCTTGCATCAATGAACTTATGTCAAAGAATTGCGTGCCTATGGAGTTTGAGGAGTATTTGCTGCGGATGTTCCAGCAGACATTCTACCTCCTGCAGAAGATTACCAAGGAGAACAATGCCCACACGGTGAAGAGCCGGCTAGAGGAACTGGATGAAAGGTAAAACAAATCAACCAGCTAAGTAACTGTGGTAGGATCTTTTGCTTACTAAAAGACTGTCTATACTGACTTGCTGTCATGCATGGTGTGTTTTAATCACCTTTTTTACAGAGCTCTGTGCTGCTGAAGGAGAGCAGGAAGGTAGGTGTGTTCAGGTAAGTTGGTGGCAGGAGGGTTGACTTTGCAAAGTGACTGGTAGTGTAGGTTTGTATTCTTTCCTATCCTCTTCCTCCCCACTCCCCGATTCGTTACTGTTTGACTGCAGGTGTGAGGTGGCACAAGAGCTGAACCTGCCCTTCATTCAGTTGTAGCAGAGCAACAGAAGAGGCACAGTGAGGTAAAGGAATTGAAGTATTCCCTTTTCAGTTGATATCTGCCATCTGTCTGTTTTAAAGTCATGTTTAAAAGGAGTGGGCGGCATGCTCCAGGTCACTCCATGGCTTTGAAGAGAATGAAACCTGGCCAGTTTCATACCTTATATTGGGACTTGAGAAGCATATCTGTTTTTTTAAAAAAAAAAATAGCTTTACAGGATTTTGGAAACTTGAGGTTGCTTGGGGTGTTAATACGCTAATTAACCAGTCTTATGAAAGTAGTCCCAAAATTGAAGGTGCCTTCATGCATTTGTTAATTATAACTTATATCCGTGTAAAGGCTGGATAAGCGGAAGCATCTGGGAGGCTTCTAATTCCTTTTTTCACTTCCAGAGGGATATGAAGAAACTTGTTGCCTAATTCAGTTACGAATATTTGCCATCTTTCATGAAGAGATACTTCCACTTGTTTTGACAGGAGGGAAAGTCATGTTGTGTGGTTGAACTTTCCATGGTTTGAAATAGTCATTTGTGTGGCATAGCAGACAACTATGGATGTTAGCTTCTGTTACAGCACTGCTGTAGGTTTTAATTATGGGAGCTGGGCTGTCTCCTGATGCTAATGTTGGCAGGATACCTTTTCTGATGTTGTAATTACGCAAATGTATCCAGATTCACAATTGTAGCCTGTTGCTGTGGATGCATGGTGATAGAAGTAGATGAGCATGGCACTGCACTACCAAACTTCTACTAAACCTTTGATCTTCTTCCCAGACATGACACCCAAGTTTCAATCAAAAGGTTAATGGGTGTGCACAACAGAGGCACTTTGTAACTTCAACACAGGTGTAAGTCTTGGTTTAGCAAAAACAGGTCAATATATAATACAGATGCAGTGCATCTCTCTCTCTCTCTCTCTCTTTCTCTCTCTCTCAAATTGCCTTAGATCTTTTTCAGCTGGCTTCTTTAGATATATTTTTAACTCTTTTGGAATTTAAATCTAGAGTAACAGTGAATTCTAATTATCCATTTTCTTGACTATCCCGTTAGCTTCGACATTACTTGGCTTCCTAAAATCAGGTGTTGGGTAGGGAATTGAAATCTCTAATTACATGTTCATTTGGGCATATGGATCGAGAACAGATGTTTTCAGGAAAGTTAAGCCAAGTTAGTAATACTGCAGTGGGAAAGAGTTCTTTCCCTAGCAGTGTAACAGACTTCAGTGCACAGGGATTTTTCTCCACAGGATATGGAAGTTCTTCTAGAGCCCCGTTTAATTTTTACATGTTGAACACAAAATGAGTGCTTTTGATGGTGGTCATGTTCAAAGATCTTGAGGTCCATAAGTGAATCTCCCTTTTTGTTAGTGCTTAATATGATTTGAATCAGGGATGTAACCTAGATATTTTGGCTTAACTTTATAGACTTCTCTAGCTTTTTCATGAGTAAAACATTCTCTGGACAGGTTATCCTACAATCTCTCCCTCCTGTGGATTAAAGATGCTGCAGGCTGTCAAATGGTTTTCCTTTCTTTGTTTTAAGGTTAGCTTGATTTGCAAGACTTGAAGACTTGGAATTGACTCAAGTCAAGTTGTCTTCTCACTTGCCATTTTTAACTTGGCATGCTGCTAAACAAAGCTGACATTGTTGCAAAATAGTGTGAAACTACATAGCAATACCGTATCTTCCACCTTTAAAACCTTGATTTCCTTAAAAGTTCACTCTTATCTGGAACAGGAGTGACATGGGGTGATGGTTGGTTACTAGTTACTTTATTTATCATGGAGTTAGCGCAGTTTTGAGCCTTCTTGACCTTGTAAACCAGTACAGAAAATGTTAACTTTAACCACATTTTGCAATATCCTATTTGTGTGGCATTTAATTTCAAGTTTCCAGTACCTTTAATGAAATCCAAAGTGTAGTAACTAAGTATAAATGGTAATTCTAAGCTGACGACTGGCTTAGTGGATCCTAGAGGCCTACATCCATATAAAACTTTCAGTAGATCTTGGCTTAAAGAAAGCACTGAGCTCAGGATAACTGTTTCCCACTAGGTCGCTTTGTTTTTGAAGTATTTGGCCAATGACCAGTACATGCTTAGTGGGAGTCCCTCTTGCCAAGGAGACTGGTGCCAAATGAACTATAAATATAGTCTTACTACCTCATGCATTCCAGCAATTGTGTGGGTGCACAGTTTCATAGTGACCGGTCAGGGAATAATGCAACTTGCTGTTCCTGTTCAGTAATGACTCTCTAGTTTGGAGCTGGCTTTGTTCAACTAAAAGGAACAATTTTTTCTCACAGTGAGGTATGCCAAACAGATACAGTGTTTCCCATCAGCGCAGCTGTAATAAGGGGCTGTCGTTCCTGAATGTCTTAAAATTTTGCCACTAAAATTATTTTGGTGTCTTCAGCTGTGTGATGTTTCTTTTTTTAAAAATTTCTTGAAATACTTTTTGATATTTAAGAACTCTAAACTGTCACATGGGTGGGAGAGATCAACTTTTAAGCAGTGCAGTTATGTAACTACCTCAATGGGGTTCTTGGTATTAGAATGTTCCACAAAGCATCCTGTGCAGTGATGGCATACAGATAGTTGTTTTCTTGCAGTCAATACGTAATTAAAATGATATCCTAAACTCTGGTAAAGCTCCATATTGCACAGTGCATGTTCACTCCACAGTAACAGCCCACACTGCAGTGGCCTTTATAATTGTTTTTTTAGCAATGCTTTCTTGAAGCTTTAACTACTTACACTGCCATGGAAGTGTCTAAAGTTTCCATTGGGTTTCCATTAAGGGTTTCCTAAGGGTTCCATTGTGGGCCCTTCACTTCATATACTGTAGCATCAGAAAGACAGTGTTAATCGTGGAACTGACTAATCCTAGATCTGGGGAAAATACTGACAAGGAGTGTTTAAATCTTCCTAAAAGAGATGCTCTAGTTCAATCACAAGCTCTTGGACTGGATGCAGGAATTACTAGGTTATATTCGCCCAGTCCCTGGTGTACTTTCTATTGATCTCTGTGACATGGGTGTTGCGTTGGTGTGTTTTTAATACCAGAAAATCAATTCCCAATGTCTGCGTGTATCCCATTCAACAGTATCTCCTGAGTGTTACATTCTGTTGACTAATCCCATCCATATCCATTCAGCTACGATGGGTCTTGCTGCTAGATATATGTAGCACTAAGGGGATTGCTTATCTGAAGGCCTTATTTAATTCATATTGTTTTATCTGAACACTAAAGTTGCTTTTGACTAGACTGTCTTTTCTGCTGTGTTTCAGGTGTTAATGGAATGAAGGGTTGCCCATCCTGTAGGTAATTGTTGCAGGGCTTTATATTTTAATTGTACTACTGGCTATTAAATGTAGTTGGTTTTTTTTTAATGAAAAGGTTTTGAGTGAATTTTTCACTATTTCAATGAAATTATTTTCCCCCCATGGCTTCCTTCATGTTTCATCAGTTGTTTTCTCTCCTTTTTCCTTTAGCTACATTGAGAAGTTTACAGATTTTCTGCGTCTCTTTGTGAGCGTCCACCTAAGGAGGATCGAATCATACTCTCAGTTCCCAGTGGTTGAATTTTTGGCTCTCTTGTTCAAATACACCTTTCATCAGGTACAGCACTGACACTGCTTTTATCTTATTCCATCCTTCTTTGTATGTCCTAACCATGCAGGATACGAGTAAAGGATAGCTTATTTCCCAATAGGTCTGATAGCTTAAAGGCAGCCCACTAAAACTTCAGTTTCATGCCTTTTTAGCAATTGAACATGTTATCATGCAGATTTCTACTGGCTTAACACTTTGGGACTTCTTGGAAGCCTTCATTTACTTTCTAATAGCATAACATGCAGGAAATCTTGCTCCTGGCCCCAAATAGTTGAAAAACGGTCAGATCTAGTTATCTTACAAGAATGACTTGGCTGGCTTTTATCTTTGCTGCTGGTTTAATTGGGTTTGAGGAAACTTTTTTGAAAAGTCTCTGTATAACCCCCATACATCTTTGCTGGGGGCTGGCTTTTTTGTCACTTCTGAAACTGTTGCTTTTACAGCTTCTCTGAGGCTTCATGTGGGATGATTTTTATCTCTTTTTTTTTTTTCCCCGACATACCATGACCTAGAGTGAGCGTCACCTTAAACCTGCTACAAGATTAACTGCTTTCACACCATTCAATTAAAGTTACAACCTTATTTGCACTTATAATTATTCATATGTTTTGACTGGGGCAGGAACTGTGACAGGAAAGATACTTGCATAGTTCAAAGCTACAGGGGGAGTTGGTCAGAAGTGGGACGAGAGCCTGGGAGGTCTTGGCTCCCAGTCCTAAGCTCAGACCTCACTCCCCTTTTTACAGTTCAGACAAGCAGGGTTTTTCCAAGTGACACGGAAAATTCCTCACTAAAGCAAATCTGCATCACTTAATGGAAGTGTCCTTCTATTCTTGAAAGTACACACTAACTCAAATTCTGGCTACACATGGCCTATATTTTACTGCAGTTCACGATGTTTAACATGGGGTTTTGTGTATTTCAGCCTACCCATGAAGGTTACTTTTCTTGCTTAGACATTTGGACGCTCTTTTTGGACTATCTTACTAGTAAAATTAAAAGTCGTCTAGCGGACAAAGAAGCAGTACTCAACAGGTAAGCAATGCCAGCAGCTGTTAACACAAAAGAGCTTCAGAGATACTGCATAAAAATAGCTTTGTCTGTGTGGAGCTCACGCTTGCCTGCTGTTTTATGCCTTATCATCACAGTAAGCGTGAGTCTGTCTTGCATTTCCTAATTATTTTATCTACAGAGACGATCGTAACAAAATGTAGTTGGGGGTGAGAGGTTCTACATGTTTGTGCAGTTCAAGACCTGACACTAAAGTAAAGAGGCAAGAACTGATACTTTGGAGAATAAAACTGTACCCTAGCCTGGCAACATTGCATTATAGAATACTGGGTTGTCTGAATTGTATGTGTTGATACGTGGATGACATCTTGCTGTGTTGGTTAGGTATTTAACAATGACATGTTAGACATAATTCCTGGCTTTTGTTGGGACTTCAATATTCATCAGTTTGACTACTAAGAATGCAATATGAATTCTGAAGTTTAGAAATATTGCACACCGGTATCATTTTGCAGTATCGCACTTGAGGAGAAACATTAATTTTTGCACAAAAATAATAAAGCTGTTTAATCAAGCTGCATTTTGTATATAAACTGTATTTTTGCTTTATATAACATGACTATAGGGAAGAAAGATGGTCCGCTGGTTAGGGTACTGACTAGGACTTGGAGAGCTTTGGGGCCAAGTCCCTGATGTACCACAGACTCCCTATGTGACCCTGAGCAAGTCACTTTGTCCCTCTGTGCCTTAGTTTCCGCATCAGTAAAATGGGGATAATAGCACTTCCTGCCTCATGGGGTGTTGAGGGTAAATATTCTGAAGATTGAGGTGTTTGGATATTACGGCAGTGAAGACCATTAAAAGATAGATTAAAAACAACTCACACTGGATGCAGCACATGACTGAACATAAGAACGGCCATATTGGGTCAGACCAATGGTCCATCTAGCCCAGTATCCTGTCTTCCGATAGTGGCTAATGCTGGGTGCTTCAGAGGGAAGGAACAGAACAGGTGATCGTCAAGTGATCCATCCCTTGTCGCCCATTCCCAGCTTCTGGCAAACAAAGGCTTCAGCGCATGGTTTTGCATCCTTGCTGATCTTGTGTTATGAGAAGGAGTAAATAATGCTTCCTTATTTAATTTCTCCACACCAGTCATGATTTTATAGACCGCTATCATATTTCCCCCATCATTTGTCTCTCTTGCAAGATGAAAAGTCCCAGTTTTATTAATCTCTCATCATAGGAAACCTGTTCCATACCCCTAATCATTTTTGTTGCCCTTTTCTGTACCTTTTCCAACTCCAATATACCTTTTTTTGAGACGGGGTAACCAGATCTGCACACCGTATTCAAGATGTGGGCGTGCCATGGATTTATATAGAGGCAATGTGATATTTTCGGTCTATTACCTATCTCTTTCCTAATGATTCCCAACATTCTGTTCACTTCTTTGACGGCTGCTGCACATGGAGTGGATGTTTTCAGAAAATTATCCACAATGACTCCAAGATCTTTCATGAGTGGTAACAGCTAATTTAGACCCAGTGTATAGTTGGGATTATGTTTTCTGGTGTGCATTACTTTGCATTTATCAACATTGAATTTCATCTGCCGTTTTGTTGCCCAGTCACTTACAGCTTTAAGTGCCATGCTCTTCAAAGGTGATCCTAACTCAAAGCCTTTATGTGGTCAAAATGTTCAGGCAATGGGACTCCGAACATCTGACCCTGTGGGGCACTGTTTCTCAATTGTATTTTCATTCAAGGGAAAGTTGGGTGGAAGTACAGAAAACACTGAATTTCCATTGTCTAAAATGCTTCGTGGTGAGAATGTTACCACCACTGTATTTTGTTGCTGCTGAAGTATGAGGCAGTGAACATCATTCACTATCAAACAGTTGACAGATGTTTGGTGTCCAAATTATTTCTTTTAGTGGGATTCTTGACTTAATATATTTAAGTGAGCCTATAATATAACACAATGCATCAGGTAAGATAAAGTTAGCATATAACACAATGCATCAGGTAAGATAAAGTTAGCAGTTTGTTGTCTTTGTCTGCTTATGCTTAAAGCAGAGAGTTCAGCCCCTGTTTCATAGATCCCTTTGCTCTCGCTATCTTGGCAGCTCTGAGCAAATATCTCCGCTAGTGTCTTAAAACTGCTTAGCATGGGGACGAGGGAGACCTGTATTCAAAGTAGGCAGATTTAAAACTCTCCACTACATGTTATGGTCTGTGCTAACTACAAGAAGAACCTTCCTTTCTTCAAGTGATCATGTCCATTCCAATTAGGTGTGCACGCGCCGCGTGCATGGATGATGGAAACTTTGTTCCTTAGCAGCTCCCTTCGGGATGGCAGGGGAGCCCCTTAGAGTGGCGCCCTCATGACAGTGTATATATTACCCTGCCGGCCCGACCCCCCTTCAGTTCCTTCTTACTGTCCGTGGCGGTGCTGGAATATTTCTCTCTCTCGCTTGCGGGTTATCCCTTAGCTTTTCGTAGATAGTTATCAGTTAGCTAGAAATCCATTGTTTCAGGTGTCTGGAAGCTAGTTCCAGCACCAACCTTGGGCTGCAGGGCATGCCGCAAGCCCAGGGTTTCAAAGCTTGCGCCACATGCCGCAAGTCTATGCCCAACAGCGACCCCCACAACTCCTGTCTCCGGTGTCTCGGAGAGTCTCATCAGGCAGAGCACTGCAAGATCTGCAAGGCCTTTAAGCCGCACACCAAGAAAGGAGGAGACTTTCGCCTTAAGCAGTTGCTCATGGAGTCCGTGTTACAACCACCAGCCTCTGACGCACTGGCTTCCTCGGTACGAGGTGCCCCGGTGTCCGTGTGTGAACTGGCACCGCAAATCATCGGCACCGAGACAGGATGACCAACTTCAGCATTGATCCACTTCTCTGGCACTGACTAAGCGGCACAAGCAAGGGGAAAGAGGGCGCTCTCCCCGTAGAGCTACTAAGCCTCTCAAAGATACTTCCGGCATGCAAAGACACATTGCGGACCCGAGCCAAGAACTGGCACCGTCGACTCTGGTGCCACAAGCCCCATTGAGTCTGGTACCCTGTGGATTCCGTGCCGACATCGGGCTGGAGGAGATCCTCGAACACCCCTCCCCACCTGACACTTTTGAGGTAGCAAAAGACCTCACTGAGTTGTTGGCGCCAAGCCCCCTCCCATGCAGGGAGAAGCCTTCGGCACCACCTAGAAGCGTGCCGTCCAGAGGGAAGCTGGCAGTGGTGCGCCACTTGAGGTTACCTTCTCGGCGCTGCTCATGGCACCGCTCCCGGTTGAGTTTGGCGTCTTATTATTCCCTGGCACCTACAACCAAGCATAAGGTTACGGCATCGGAGCGAACCAGCCAGTGGCGACTGCACGCCGGTCCCCGACACCATTGGTCACCCTGCACCGGAGTACAGCACCGATGGCACAGAGTGTGAGACACCGATCCCGAGATTCCCGGTACCGTTTGCGGTCCCGGTCAGCCAGGCACTGCTCCCCGGCACCCTGCGACCACTCAACATTCAGCACTGCCGTGGTCCTCTCAGTCAGCATCCTCTGGATCCGAGGCCAATTCCGGTCTCTCTAGCTATAGTAGACATAGAGCAATAGCTAGCAGAGAATCCCAACCAGCCTGGCAGCCACAATGGCCCCCTCCAGGTCAGTGGCCCTTCTGGACCCCATGGGCCTACCACCAGCAACAGTGCATCTCCTCCAGAGCCTCTAGGTCTGGACAATCTGTGACGCCATTCCAGGTCACCACACAGGCACCAATCAAGGATAAGGGAGGCCACTTTCTCTGGGCCACCCCTGGACCCACAAGAGCAGCCAGTGCCCCCAGGCCCAATACCCGAGGCAGCGCCAAGCTCTGCAACACCTGGAGAGGTGTCAGCCCTCCAGGGCCCTGAAGTGACCCAGGTCTATGGGGACATGCAGAAAGGTCTAGATGAGGACAACCAACAGCACCTCACGTCAGTCTCAGGACCGTCACCAGTAGACCACAGGGTTCACCAGGAGCTGCTCAGCAACATCGCCCTCAATATGGGCCTTCAGGCGGAAGAAACAGTCGAGCAGGAGGATCCAATGGTGGACATCCTGGCTCCCTATGGTCCCTCCAGTGTCGCGCTCCCTCTCATAAAGACTATACAGTCGAATTGCCACACTGTATGGCAGACCCTGGCCTTCATCACGCTGACAGCCAGGGGGGGTAGAAAGGAAATACTTTGCCCCTTCCAAGGGCTACGAGTTCCTGTTCTGCCATCCGACTCCCTGTTCCCGAGTCATTTCAGCAGTCAACGAAAGGGAACGACATGGCCAACAAGCCTCTGCCTCAAAGGCCAAGGAAGCTAAGCGTTTGGACCTCTTTGGTAGAAAGGTCTGCTCCTCCGGGGGCCTCTAGCTACGTATAGCCAACCAGCAGGCTATCCTCAATAGACACAACTTCAACTCTTGGAGGGCAAAAAGAAAAGGAGTACTGGGGCACCTTAGAGACTAACCAATTTATTTGAGCATAAGCTTTCGTGAGCTACAGCTCACTTCATCGGATGAGCTCACGAAAGCTTATGCTCAAATAAATTGGTTAGTCTCTAAGGTGCCACTAGTACTCCTTTTCTTTTTGCGAATACAGACTAATACGGCTGCTACTCTGAAACCTGTCTTGGAGGGCAGTGTCCAAGTTTAAGGATCGCCTGCCCCAGGACTCTCACTCTGAGTTTGCATCTTTAATGGAGGAAGGGAAGGCTATGGCTAAGACTTCCTTACAAGCCTCCCTCGATTCAGCGGACTCTACAGCCAGAACCATTGCCTCGGGGATAGTCATGCGATGCACAGCGTGGCTCCAGGCATTGGGCCTCCCTCCAGAGGTCCAAAATACCCTCCAAGACCTTCTTTTTGAGGGTTCGGGCCTTTTTTCGGAGCAGACTGACTCCAGGCTGCATGGCCTTAAGGATTCTAGGGCCACCCTGAAGTCACTAGGAATGCATGTGCCGGCAACCCAGAGAAAAGCCCTTCAGGCCTCTGC